GAATGACTCTGCACTCACAATGGTGTTGGCTCATTATGCCAAAGAAATTTTCTGGATTGCTCATGTTGCCTATTACAAAAGTACCATGAACAATATAACATTCTTCTATAGCTAGTTTTGTAATCTAGACTTGTCAGATCAAGCAATTAATCATTTGTGTAGTGCATTCCTCCCCTTCACATTATGATCTCTTGAATTAATGCAGATTTGCATATTGATGTGAGCAAACTGCTGCAAGAATAGTATCATTGCATGTCTGTATCTGTGGTAGTAGGAGTGTTTGAGTCACGCTATCCGAATGCTTAAACTGCGTAACCTTGGGTTCACTGTGTTATTATGCAAGTTCTACCTGAATTATGTGCAAACTGTCTGCACACAATTGCGTTTAACTAGCATAATTGAATGTTGTGTTTTAATGGTTGCGTAACTGTGAAGGTAGTCTGTCTTTATTTTGGAAACTTAACTCATGGTTGATTTCCATGGTTTGAAGTAGTTGTGAATATGTGCCCTCACTAGCATGTCAAGAAAGGGAAGTAAACTCAAGTTAAGGCAAGTAAACTCGAGTTAAACTCCACAGACTTTATCAGATCTGTTTGGAGTTGGCCAAATGGATGCTTTATTTGATTTTATTTTTTGTGAAGATTTGTGACGCAGCAGAATAAATCACGCGAGATTAGATATCGTTCTAGTAGACGAGAATTCTTGAATCACAAGAACAACCTTGAATCCACAAGGAAGATAGAAGAAAGCTCTTAAAAATATTATTGAATGAATGAATAAAAGTTGTATAAAAGTTGTCTTTGCATGAGGCTTACATAGCTATTTATAATAAACTAAATCTAATACTTGTAGGAAAAGTAATTCTAAAATAAGCTAGGAAACTTAAATCAACATAAATTAGGAGACCTAAGAGAATAGGAAACTAGAATTCTTAACTATTTAAAATCCTAGTCAAAATCTAATTCTAAAATAATAAAATTAAGAAACCTAATAATTCTAAATTATTTATACTAAATTACAAGATTCCTAATAAAATAATTTATCAAAAATATTAAAACTAAAAATACAAAAAGCCTTAAAATCTTGTCCTACATCAGTGTCCTCTTCTTTGAAAGAACTCGTCCTCGAGTTCATATTAGAGATCTGCCATCTTCCATGCCAAATAAACAGATATTTTGAATTTTTCAGTTGCTTGCCCCTCTTCCAAAAGTTGTATATAGGCCCTGTTTGGTAGAGCTGTGGGAAAGTGCTTATAGCTTATACTTTAACAGCTTATAGCTTATAACTATGAACATAAGCTGATTTCTGACTTATAAATTAAGCTTCTCCTGCTCCACTCAAAGAATAAGTTGATTTCTGACTTACAAAAAGCTATAAGCTGTATTGTTAAGCTAAACCAAAAACATCAAAATAGCTTAAATTAAGCTGAAAGCTAAAATAAGCTGTACCAAGCAGTGCCATAGGAAAGTTTTCTTTTTGAAGGTTCTTCTCTATATGCTTCAACTGGTTGACAAAATTAATTAGACAAGCATTGAAAATCAAATTAAATTGCTCTACACTAAGAAAATCAACCAAATTTACTTTGTGTAGAACTTGCATGCTCTCTTGATGTTGCACCATCTCAGATTCAATTGATCCTTCAATTATTAACCTTGGACTATCAAATGTAGTATCAACCAATTTCTTTGCTGCACACAACGGTTGTATTATCTCTTCTCCTGTTTTCTTTTTGTTACTGGACTCAATCAGATCTCCTTCTTCTTCAATATTTTTATGATTTGTTTGTAAAACTTTCTCCTCAATATTCAAATTACCATGTGTTGATGCATTATCAACACTCGAACAAAACTTTATATCTTTTTCATTAGTTTTACAAACAATCTCACCACAAATAATATTTGGATGCGAATTCTTTTCTTTTGCAACTACAATTTCATGGCAATTTTTTCCCCACTCCATGGAAGGATCTTGATTTGTATATGACAATATATCTTCATGATCATGAAAGTAAAATTTTGTTGCCAAAAACTTTTTCATTGTTAACCCATGAATGAAATTTGTCTTCACCTTTGCAAACTCGATAATCTTGTAATCCATTCCACCACTTCAATGCAATTTTATCAAGTTTGTAGGATGCAAATATAACCTTCTTTTCATGAGGAATCTTTATATGATTTCAAAGAAATTTTCAAGATCAAGCAACCAATCAAGAAAATCTTCTTTTTGAAACTTACTTGAACCGTTAAAATATGAAATTTCTGCAAAATAACATAAACTAACAGGTTGGCCTTGGGTGAATCCTCCGGCGCAATTACTGTCAACTGTTGGTTGCCTCTGGTTGACGATTAGTCCCAAATCGGCAAGTAGATTACAAATCTCATTGCGAAGTTCGTGCACCTCTAGTCGATGTTCCTCAATCGCATCCCATATAGCTTCCACCCTACGATCAACGTCAATAGGGATTGTGTGTGCTCCATTGTCTTGTGTAATTGAGCTAGGCGAATCCATGCTCTGATACCACTTGACGCAGCGGAATAAATCACGCGAGGCTAGATATCGTTCTAGTAGACGAGAATTCTTGAATCCACAAGGAAGATAGAAGAAAACTCTTAAAAATATTATTAAATGAATGAATAAAAGTTGTATAAAAGTTGTCTTTGTCATGAGGCTTACATAGCTATTTATAATAAACTAAATCTAATACTTGTAGGAAAAATAATTCTAAAATAAACTATCTAAAATAAACTAGGAAACTTAAATCAACATAAATTAGGAGACCTAAGAGAATAGGAAACTAGAATTCTTAACTATTTAAAATCCTAGTCAAAATCTAATTCTAAAATAATAAAATTAAGAAACCTAATAATTCTAAATTATTTATACTAAATTACAAGATTCCTAATAAAATAATTTATCAAAAATATTAAAACTAAAAATACAAAAAGCCTTAAAATCTTGTCCTACATCACTTTGACTAAATATTTTATTTGGTTGCCTGCCTAAGATGATGTCTATTTTTTATTCTGTGTTAGATTGTCTGTGTATGAACTAATGAGTGATAGAAAGACATCAAATGGAAGATGTAAAATCATTTTCAGCAATATTTTGTGTGGCATAAAAATCCCCTGATTAAAATACTACCAACATTAAAAAAATGCAGTTATTGGAACACTTTCCTACTTCATTCTTTTGTTATTGTTACATGAGCACACTTGTAAAAAGTTTCTTTTTGAATTGTTTCAAAACAAGTCCAACATTACAAATCCCTGTTGTTGCCTCTTCATGCTGAGTCTTCCGTTTCTTTAGTTGGTAAACAGAGCAAGGAAGAAGGTGCACGCATAACGTTCTGCATAACGTTTTGGGATGTACAACATTGATTGTAGTTGGTAAACAGAGCAAGGAACAAGGTGCATGCATAACATTGTGGGATGTACAACACTGATTGTACTGTTGATAGGTCATTATTTTAAGCATCAGATTTGCTGTAACCGATTCTAACTTTTCAATCCAGAAATACTGCAAACTTTTAATATTTCTCTAATTTAGAATTCAATGGCTATCATAGTTGTCAAATCGAGATTCGTATCGTGAATCGAAATGGCTTCGTATCGAATCGCAAATCGAATCGAATTGAATCGTGAATCGTAAAGATTCGGACACTTTTTCTAAATTACTTAAAAACATATATCTACACATTTAGATGCTAAATATATCTTATGAATATAAAATATTTAGACTTAAATCAACAAAAATGTTATTTTGAATGATAATCACATAATTTAATAGGTAAGAAGTTAACAAAGGTTCCTATGTAAAATCACCATCTTACCTCTTTTTTTTTTTTAGATATTTTTTTATCAACCATTCTTAATAAAGATAATAACCAAATAGACAAACTATTAATTTCTAAAGTAACAATAGTTAACAACGATATTGATATTTGGACAATAAGCCTATATACTTTTCTAAGTAAGAGTGAGCAAATAATAAGAAAGAGTTATTTAGGATATTTTATTTTAAAGCCTAAAACATTTTAAAAGGTATAGCTGACCTTACACATGTAATATTCAATTTAATAAAATAGTAATAGATAATTCATAGTGTAACTTTAATCTTAAACATCTTTAGAAGATATATTACAATTTTTTGAAGGGGAAAAAAATGAGAAGAAAGGTTAAAAATATGTTAGGTCTGACTGAATCTGATTGGATCTTATAAAAAACTTCATAATCACTAAAATAATAACAAATCATATATATATATATGTTGGTTATTTTGGTATTAAATGCTATGAGAAGTTGTATTATGTCATTTTCACAAAAAAGATGAAAAAAAAATGAGTCGAAAATTTGTCGAACACAATAATTTTAAAAATTACATGAATCGTAAAAAGTGAATTGAATCGTGAATCGATTGTGAATCGTGCGATTCACTAGAGACTCACTTCCAAAATAGATTCACTCATAGATTCGTATCGATTTTGCAAAAATTGCGTATTGAATCGTGAATCGAATCACGAATCGTAAGATTCTGATAACAGAGATGGCTACTGTCTAAATTTATAAAGTGTTTTCTCAGGTCATCATAATGCCTTCTGAGTTTTCCAGAAGAAAAAAAAAAAAATTAGAATTAGCTGTGTTTAGAGTTTGGTTCCTTGCTAGTGCTGAAATTTGAGAAGTTTATCCTTAAATGATTGCTTAAATAGTCAGACATAACTGTCAGTTCGCTAAGTGATTACATAGGATAAAAGTTTCCATTTTAGTTTATTTCTTGTTTGGGTGGATATTCAATCTTGATCAATTTTTGGATTCCATCTAATTTTGAAAGGCGATCATGTCGTTCTTGTGTATTGTTGTACTGCTCTTAAATGAATGGTGGATAATTGGCTTGAATGGATGAATCATCTAATATTATCTTATGCTTCTCTCTCTCTCTCTCCCCATTTCAATCTTTATTCTCATTTAATTTGTTGACTTTGAGGTACCAATCTTATCTAAAAGGGAACTGTGAGACTTCTTTTCCAACCAGCTGAGGAGGGAGGTGCGGGTGCATCTCACATGATAAAGGAAGGTGCTCTTGGTGATGCTGAAGCAATATTTGGGATGCACACTGACTGTACAAGGCCCACAGGAAGCATAGCAACCATTTCTGGACCTGTTCTAGCTGCGGTATCCTTCTTTGAAGCAAGAATAGAAGGAAAAGGTGGGCACGCTGCAGAACCGCACACTAGTGTGGATCCAATACTCGCTGCATCATTTACAATTTTGGCATTGCAACAGCTCATCTCGAGAGAAGTAGATCCCCTCCAAAGTCAAGTGCGTCTCTGTCATCTATTTTTTTTATATTTATTATCTAATCTTGTGGTTTCAGTCTTACTTTATCATATTCAAGGGTCCAGAGTCTCTTGACCTATCACGAGGAAAAATGATTGCATTTTATCACTTTGAAAGAACCTGTATACAATCATTTCATTCACCTATATACTTTTTGTTTTCATTTTGAAGCAATTCACTCAAAACTACAACAATATTACTTCATGAAGAACACTGATCCCAAATAACTGTAACATATTTTATTGGCCATACTAATTAACAACTTCCAAAAAAAAGTTTATTTACATATTTAGTTTGTTGAGAGAAATTAAGCATTCGAATAATAAACTGATTTACTGCTGATACTTGCGCTTTTGCTGAAGGTACTATCTGTTACTTATGTCAGAGGTGGGACAGCATATAATATAATTCCATCATATGTTGAGTTAGGGGGCACTTTAAGGAGTCTTACAACTGAAGGCTTGCACCAACTCCAGCAGAGAGTAAAAGAGGTATCCACTATTCATCAACCTTGATTTTGGCTTTTTTTTATAAATTTTTTCTTTTTAAATTTTGTTTTTGGAATATGATTTTGGCTTTCACTAAATGGATAATGGTATATATTATGTTAATTTTCAATTAATAGTAGGTAAAACCTTGCATGTTTTTTGTCCAAGAAAGTTCCAAGCAATTCTTTGTCTAATATAGTACACAGAGGTGTTTTGGTCGAATTGATAGGCCATTTGGGGTTTTGTTGTGAAGCAATGGATGCAGGCGTTTAGGCCTGGAAAGAGGGTTAAATAGGCTAAAATCTAGATTAATAACCAGTTGTAGTCATGGTGTAACAATGTCGAGAGTATCAACCTAAGAAGCACAGATACTTCTAAGAAGGTGACGTATCCGTGTCGGACATCGAACTCTTTGGACACTTTCCAAACACGTGTCCGATACTCTTCAAAACATGTCCTATTTTTTAATATTTTTTAAAGACTCGGACGCTCTTTGGACACTTGGAGGACACACGTGTTTATTTCTTAAACATACGTGTTTATCAATTAGACACATGTGAAACTAATTATAAGTTTAAACAAAACAAATTAAGATACATAATAAAATAAAAACCATACAAATTTATAGGAATTAATGTCATATTACATTTTTTATCATCTTTGAATGATATATTCATATATATATAACATATAAATATATAAAATTATATATTTCATGCGTATCTCTTACGTGTCGTGTTTTGCATTTTTTTTTGAAATTAAGCGTGTCGGCGTGTCCGTATCGTATCTGTGTCGTGTCGCATGCCCGTGTTCATGCTTTTTAGGTATCGACAAAGGTGTAGCAACAATAAGAAACCAAGCTCCTGAATTTATTTATTTATTCTTTCACTAGCAAATGCTTTAAAAAAAAAAGAAGGCAAATTATACTAACAGTCCCTATAGTTTGGGGCTTGTGTCACTTTGATCCCCAACTATTCAATTGTGACATATTTGACTATGAATTTTAAATCTTGTTTCAAATAAGGACAATTGAAGTTAATTTCAGGGGCAAAATTGTTAATTTGGTAAAATATAAACTATTTTGACAAAAATAAATGTCAAAAATATTTTTGAATTTTAAAAAATTATTTCTGCCCACCAAAGATAAAATTATGAAAAATTGATAAATCTTTTAGATATTTATTTATTTATTTATTTTACCAAATTAATTTTTAGCATGTGTTTGGATGATGATCATATAATGGGTGATTGTTTTTATTTTCATTAAATTAGTTTCTAGTTTTTTAAAAGTCAAATATGACGACAATTTTGATATTATTATTAAACTAATCCATTAAATCAAAAAAATTCAAAACTAAAAATATTTTATATATTAAATATATTGATTACACATTAAAATCTCAACATACACTCATTACATGATCATCATCTAAATGCATAATAAAAATTAATTTGGTAAAAAAAAAAAATAAATGTCTAAAAGATTTATTAATTTTATATAATTTTATCTTTGGTAGATAGAAATAATTTTTAAAAATTCAAAAATGTTTTTTTGATATTCATTTTTGTCAAATTAGTTTATATTTTATCAAATTGACAATTTTGCCATTGAAATTAAGTAATGGTATATTCAATTGTCCTTATTTGGAACAAGATTCAAAATTCAAAGTCATATGTGTCACAATTGAAAATTTAGGAACCAAAGTGACACGAGTCTCAAACTATAGGGACTGGTAGTCTAATTCGCCTAAAAAAAATTATTTATAAGTATGTTCTTGCCTTGTTTACCACGAGTTGAATGTTTGTAATAGTTTTTAATCATCATTGTGTCATTTAAAAACATGTTTTATAAATAATATTGAATTTTATGTTGCTTTTAAAGCAAAATATGGAGAATTTTATTTGGCAAGGGCAATTCTGATGTAGAACGTCTATTAAGAAATCCATTCAACTATTTAATTGATCACAAAACCCTAAATTGTGGATAATTGATCCAAAAGAGAAGATAAAAAATTTGAAGAATAAAAAGAATAAAGAACACAAGGTTCAAAAACGCTAATCTCACAAAATAACAGCTACAATCTTAAAGCTATATATATAGCCAACATTCTTTTCCAGGATTTTTGTGAGGAACTCCTCTATGGCTCCCATTCAAATAATTGGAATTTAAGAAAACATGATCTACTTCAGATTAGTGCAGGAAAAATGCTGGTTTTCGCATTTGCATTCAGTTTGTGTTGTTCCTCAATTTGTTTTTGTTTACCCAAGTTTCCAATTTTGTGCAATTAGTCATCAAATGATTAAGCAGCTGATTCATGTTTAAAATTAGTCACACCTATGTGTCTGGAGCTCGTAGGTTATCAGAGGACAGGCAGCAGTACATAGATGCAAAGCACATATTGAGATAAACAAGGAAGGGGAACAACCATATCCAGCTTGCGTAAATGACGAGGGCCTACATCAGCATGTGAAAAGGGTTGGCGGACTCTTGCTGGGTCCTGAGAATGTCAAGATGGGCAACAAAGTGATGGCAGGTGAGGACTTTGCCTTCTATCAGGAAATGATTCCTGGAGTCATGTTTAGTATCGGAATAAGGAATGAAAAGCTCGGTTCTGTTCACTCCCCACACTCTCCTCATTTTTTTCTTGATGAGGATGTCCTTCCAATTGGGGCGGCATTACACACTGTTCTTGCTGAGATGTATCTAAATGACCACCAAGAATCTGTTTTGCTGTAAAGGTTTCATATGGAAAATTAGATGGTCAACCTGGGTAATCTCTTATAGTTCCACATTACTATTACTCAAACACTTTGGAATGCATACAACACAAATGCAAATGTTGTGTATGTTAGTAGAATTGTGATTTGTAATTTCTTTTAATATTGATGCATACTTGATGGTTGCACATCGTAGTCGGGGCTTTGTTAAATGTTATTGTTGAGTACCTTCTCCTTTCATTTTGTGCTGGGTATTTATAGGTTCCATGTGTTAGACTTATTAATTATGAACTTTGTAATTTCTTTGAATTATTTATTTATATAATCGTGAATTATTGACAGAAGTGCGTTGAGCAGTTTGTGATGTTGTCTAATGTCTGGCCAGTCTGTTGTCTGTGAAGTATTCTATGAACATCCTGATTAGGTTCATTCAAGGATTCTAATATGATGTGAGTTTCAGAATATTGTAGGGGACAATGAATTGCTGCTAATCTCACTTGTGGACCCTCTTTCTGACCCTCTTTCTTTGAGGCTTACTTGAAAGAACACTCACTCACACATGGCTGCCATGTTTTTGGTGGGACAGATGGGAATGATGTACTTTCAGTTTCACCATTACTTGGCTCATTACAAACATTAGTAGAGAGACCATTCCATGGTGTTGAAATGTCACATGTGACTGAGGAACAGGAAAATATTTTGGGACCCTGTTTCCATGTCCATTCCATGTGTACGTTGCATTAGCACCAAGATCTTGAAACTTCAAATCGATATTACAAATTCATGCACTACATAAAGCAGGATCTCTATCTCTTTTGTTGCCCAAGCCCTACCCCATTCCTATGTGCATTGTAGAGTCAAAAGATCCAACAATAGACCATGAAGAACTCCCATATCAGAAAACAAGGCATGTTCTCTCTCTCTTTCTCTCTCAGATAGGTATCATTTTTTGGAAGCACACCACGTAGTTCAACTTGCCTTTTCTTTTCCTTTTTGAGTAGATTGCATTTTGTACTTTATGTTTGTTTCGGTGGACTAGATTACATGAAATTACTAGTCTAGGAATTAATAATCCCGTGATTACTGATTCCTTAAAATCACATACCTTATCATACGTTTGAAATGGCCTTGTATTAAGAGTAAGATTAATAGGTTTTTATCCTATTTTATATTTGTTTGGAATACTAGACATTCACAACATGGTGTAATTACAATCTTTTAACCTCTTAATCCGGACGTTCTTAATCCTCCCATTTTATATCTAGTTCTTCTACTTACGCAAAAATCAATTATATAATCAGATATAACCCTCTCGCATAGGTGAAAGACTTAGAAAATTTTGGGAGATATTATTTGGGAGGAAGGATCCGAATGACATGGTTCTCCAAACAAACCTGACCCACAGCCATGGTTCTCCAAACAAACCTGACCCACAGTTCGGAGCAAGCTTCATTTTCTCCCCATAGTTTGAATTATATATTGAATATTAGTTGAGATTTTGATACAGATGAATTGTTCAGTGTAGTTTATGGTGCTGTTTACAATTATTCATTTAAAAATTTGTATCAAAGTGTTTAGTGAATTTTTTTACTTGAAACTTAAAAATATTGATATTCTGAACTTGAGAGAAACTCAAAAAAAATAAAGTGAATATATATTCTAAATTTGAAAGAAACTCAACACAAAAAAAATAAAAAAATAAAAATAAAAATTATATGTTTTTAAAAGTTTACTTTTTAATTATCAACTTTCAAACTTGTTGAAAAACTAAGAGGTCTTTCTTTAAGCAATGAATCGCAATCGCAAACTATGGTATTTATTTATTGAACAGTGCATTCAATGCGCATTGAGAGCAACTATGCATTAATGCGTGTGCAATATGCAGGATACACATGGATCTGGATCCTCTCCAGCCATGCGCGTGGTGCACAACGGATCCAAAGCTTGCAATCTGCCACGTCACGAAGAAATAAATGAATTTGTGTTTTTAACTTACGTATTTTTGTGTTAAAATTGTATATAGTGTACATTGCATATGGAAATTTTTTTCCTTTGTTTTTAGTTGCACTAACACACTACTATGCCACACATCCTTTTACATTGCATTTGGGAGAAATTAAATTATTTTATTGTTATTAGAGCAAATATTTGTGGTATTGTAAATTGATAATTGTTGATCTAAATAATAATGAATTATCACTTTTTTATTGATTTTTTAAGGGGCAATATGACGTAGCGAAAAACATGGTGAAGTGTAGAGTTTGAAGCAAGAATTTTGTATAATATTATGAGGCTGAATTGGTCTGTAAATTTACCAGTGGGCTAAGCTCAACAATTTTTTTTTTTTTGGAACTTACCAATAAGGCCCATATATAAACTTCAAGACTCATGTAATTCTCAAACAAAACACTTACACCAATTAGTCCTATACATTTTTAATTGTTACCAAATTTTTTTATTTTTTTTTAATTTAGATTTTCAAGGAAGTTAGAAGCGACACCTATCTTTAATCGAATTCTCCTATAATAATAGTTTTCAAGCCAGCATTCGTATGGCGCCTTTTGAAGCATTGTATAGGCAACCTTATAGATAGCCAATTTGTTGGACTGAAGTAGGTGAAACAAAGCTAATAGGACCCGAACTTGTCCTAGGGACTACTAAGAAAGTCAAACTGATCTGACAACGGTTAAAAACTGCTCAAGACCATCAAAAGAACCACGCGGATAGGAAGAGAAGACCACTGGTGTTTGAAGTAGGTGACCACGTGTTCTTAAAGGTGTAACCTAGGCATGGAATCGTATGTTTTGGAAGGAAAATGAAGCTATCACCACAGTATATCGGACCATTCAAAATACCAGAGAAGGTGGGCGAAGTGAAATATCAACTAGCTCTACCCATGCAGTTAGCAGGGATACATAACGTCTTTCATGTATCTATGTTGTGAAAATACATCACCGATCCATCACACATCATCAACTGGGAAGAAATTAGTCTCGACAAGGATGTTACCTTTAAAGAAGGACCTATAACAACACAAGATAGTCGAGAGAAGAATCTTAGGGGCAAGACGGTTCATTTAGTGAAGGTGCTTTGGCATTATCAAGGGATTGAAGAGTCTACTTGGGAACACAGAGACTAGATGAAGGCAAACTACCCCCAACTGTTTGAAAACGATGTATAATTAAACTTCGATGACAAAATTGTTTTAAGGGGAATAAGTTGTGAGGCCCCTGAAAATTTTATTTTCTTGAAGGTCCCTTACTTTTAAATTATTTCTTTGAAGTCCCTCAATTTCTTAATTAATTGCAATTTTAACCCCAAGATCAAAATATATATGCCAACTGAAAACTAGCAAACCCTAATCGATTTCGGTAACTTAGAAATCATTTCTAATACCCTAATACTGATTAATTGACTCCCTAAATATGGAATTATCACTTGAATATCCTAAGTTTTTCCGGTTTTTATCACGTTCGTCGGTTAATTGTCTTTTTATTCGAAAAAAGAAATCCAAACCGAATTAGATTCTCTAACCCTAATTTAGTTTAATTCTACACTAAAATAAATGTTCCAATTCATAAATCAAATCCAAATCCCTCACATTTTTATCAAATCACTAATTGACCTCACACAAGTACTATTATATATATACACTTGTACCTTTAAACATATTTTATATACTATATTTTAAAATTTTCAATAATTATATACAAGAAAAAAATAAAATAATTCCCTCAAATCACCCCACATGGTCGGCCACACTAAGGAAGATGAATATATACAGTTTTTTCAAACCATATCCATGAATTCAAGGAAAAAAGTTGATAGTACCGCCAAAACATGGAACCATGCCTCCACCCTGAGTCCACTCCTAACCAAATCCTAACTAGATCATGATTAATTGTATAATTAAGGCCTCTAATCATTCACCATTCCATTAGATTCCAAGTAAATCTAAAATATCCAATCCAATTCCAACCAATGGGCATTTTGGACCTTTTGCATCAATTTTATTATAAAAACAACCCTCCCTTAGCATTTTACATACAAGAATACACTCACACACCTACACATTTGGTTAAGAGAAAGAAAGAAGAGGAATAGAGTGAACTTTGGTAGTGGAGGAGGGAAAAAGAGGAGAAAATTGTGCATGCACTTCACCTAACATAAAGTAAGCTACAACACAACTCTCTCTTTTATTTTCCTTTTTCAATTACATATTCTTAGAGATATAAAATAATATTTTCAGATGTGTTGTAATGGTGTTCATGTGTTCAAAGTTGATGAATTGGGCTTTAACCCTTCTTCTATTCATATTTCCTCTTAATAGATGTAAAACTACATTTTTTCTTCCCATATTTCACATTTTTTCCAAAGGCATACCATCACTCTAAAAATATAAGTTATTAATACATTATTTAGTATGTTTTCATCACAAAAGGAGTGAAAAACTTCCCTTAGTTGGTCTCTTTTCTTATAAATCTTCTTATTTTGAGTACTGTGCATGAAAAATCTGTTTTATAGCCAACTTTGAAAAATTCTAGAAACATATAGAAAAATCATCTGGACCTCAATTTCATGTAAAAAAATTCCTTAAAGATTCATCTTTAAAGGAAAATTGGTTTCAACAGTTTGTAAGAAAATTCGATATTCATAACGGTCAACGAATCTGGACAGTGCTGGAGTATTTCTTAAATAACTAAAAATCTAGAAAATCTATTCCATTTCTGAAACATGTTCTGAAAATTAGATAAAATTATCTACGAACCATAGGAAGGCCAGGTTTGGGAAAAATCGAAAACAACCCTTTTGATTTTAATCTTTAAGTGATACTGAATTTGGAAATTTAATTTTGCATTGGTATTTTATGCACTTGTGTTCATGAATATGCTTATTAATATATCATCATGTCTTGGTCTGATATTACATATGTCATGGTTATATACCGTTTATTTTAGTCTTTTGATGATGCTCATAGTTGTGCAAATTTATTCTTTTGTTATTTGCTTGTACTAATTAGCTTAAAACGTTAATCTAAACGGAAAACTTAATGGGGTGGCTAATGGGGTTTCGATCACATGAATATTATTATAAGATGAAGTTATGTTCAAATTGAATTGGTTAGCGGAACGCATTCCCTTTTGAAAGTTAAAGTCTTGCGCAAGTGGTTGTTCGGAACCCTTGAACAGAGCGGTTGTATTCGGACTCTAGATGGTTTGGTGTGAGGAGGAAATGGGCAAGGCCCTATTTTACCTTTTCTTTTGAGGTCCTCGGTTGGTACTACACGGTATGTAACCGTTGATAGGCACCTGGGGTAAGGTCAGCAAAGCAGTAAAAGAAGGAA